GATATTGTTCTTGCCACGAGAACATAAAATTCATATCTTCGAGCTAACGTGTAATGTTCTTTTTATTATAAAGACATATTGATGATGGTATTTTGGATGATTTTCCGAAGATTTCCATCCACTTTCCGAAGATTTCAGAAGATTCTCCAAAACTTGTCCAAAGGTCACACGAACATTGCCGAACATTTTCTGAAAATTTCTGAAGATTTCCAAAGATTTCCAAAGATTGCCGAGGACTTTCGAGGAAGACCCAAAGATGTTCCAATAATACATCATTAAATTTAGGTACAATTTAAGAGACAAACTTGATATCAGTGAAATCATCAATCACTAGTGAGGATATGGAAAATACGCCACTTGAATCCTGGAAGTGGTTTCGTATGGATTTTACGAGCAGTGTATTTTCCAGTAAAACACTCGTGTCTATATAATAAATAATATAATTATTATATGCTTTGCATTGTGAAGTCTGGGTGCGACTTGTTTTGCCAAACTATAGCAATTGATGAATGGCTTTCCGATGTACACTTGTGTAAAGCAGCGATAAGGATTCCGTCAAGGAATTGGAAGTTGGATGGAACAGTCAGCGGTTCAAATCCTGGTGTGGGCATTGCTTCTTCTTTTTCTTCTTCTTCGTCACCGTCGTCATCATGGTTGTGGTTGTAGTGGTCGTCATCACAGTAGCATTCTTGTATTACACTAACAATACTAAAACACATGTGTATGACATGTTAGGGTTCTACCACGAGGAAAAGCACTCAATGTTAATGCATGATCTTGTATGAAATGTATCTTGCACCTAATCTGTAGTTGACACTAATGCTTATTAATCTGCACATGCATCTAGAGCAAATATTGCTTTTTCTCTTGTGAGAAAAGTACCACAAGGAGAGCAAAGGGTTTTCTGAAACAAATATATAAAAGCTTTTGGAAGTGATCAAAGAAGAAACATAGGTACCACACAATTTACATAGTACTCACAAGTACCCACCCTATCCTACCCCCTTTGCTACAAGCCTAATTAGTTAATCAAAATTAAGTTTTTTTCTTTTTTCCCTCCTTTTTAGTGCAGAGTGCACTATTGGGATGGTTTTGGGGGCTGCCTACCGCTAAGGAACTAAGGTGCTATGGCGCTATGGCGCTATGGCACTATGGCGCTAAGGTGTAAACTTTAATGTTTGTTTAATTAATTAATTTCAATTAATCAATTAGTCTAGAGGCAAGGACATGGTGGGGGTGGGGTGGGAAAGGTACATGTGTACCCTACATAAAACATGTTCCATCTACATCAGTTGGGTGTGAACATCACAAAGCTATATTTGTTTCAGGTAACCCCTTGCTCTCCTTGTGGTACCATTCTCTTAACCCATTGACTCCTTGAGCTTTTCGTCAAAAACACAGTTTTTGGTCATTTTGGAGATTTTCAGGCTGGATATGGGCCAAATTAGCTCCAATCTACTCAAACGGGCATTTGCAACATGACAGCATGCCTTTCTATCCACTAGCATCGCATTTTACAACATTTTCGCTCAGGCATGTGCAGAAATCAAAATTTTGAGATTTTGGACAAGAAAGTGACCTACGCCTTAAGGCTTTTCAATTTTTTTATTTTTTATTTTTTTTTCGCCTTTCCTTTTTCTCCTTTTCTTTTCTTTTTGCTGCAGTGATTGACCTTCTACTGGGCTTGCTTCCAGTTTAAAACATTCTTTGAAAGCATCATCGAGACAGGCAAATTTTGCCATGGAGTAGCCACGTGTAGGGGCAGGAAATTTTGCTCTTTTGAGCATTTTTGTGCATATCTCAGACTCCATTGGGCTGATCACTCTGATCTGGGTGTCATTGGAAAGATCTTTTCCTCCTGCAGAAGTTGAGCATAGATGATGCCAATTTTGGTCAAGGA